GCATTAATTATATAAATAATGTAGCAAACATTGTACAGTAGTATGCAAAATGGCTTCTTTCTCTGATCCATCTTCAGACCTTGAAATGAATGAGCCAAATTCTTCTATCTCTGAAGCTGAAGCTGAAGCGTCAGCTTCAGCATGTCCAAATCCTATAAACAATCGTAAAAAACGCAAAAATAACGGTAGCAAAAAAAACAGAGTTAATATAAGTTATACGACTTTCTTTTTTTTTAGAGACCCTGACAATAATGATATTGCTTATTGCATGATTTGTAAAGACCTTGCTGGTAATACCAATAAAAATCCCTATCCTTACAGTCATAAAGGAGGTACAACCACAAACATGGCCAGTCATTTACGGAAATTACATGGTATAACGAAACAAAATTATCGAATGTATTTAGATTCAAATAACGAAGTAAGTAAAACCATGTTATTTGATAAGTTATTGTTATTGCTATCATTATAGTAATAAAACATTTATAATTTAAATTAGCCAAAAAAAAATCAAGAATTATTTATACCTCAATGTAGTAAAGCTCGACAACAAGAATTGTCTCGTTTTTTAATTAAATTCATAATAAAATTTGTACAGCCCTTGTATATTCTTCAAGATAAAGATTTTCGTGAATTTGTACATGGTTGTGAGCCCGGTTTTCATATTCCATGCGATAAAACAGCCAAAAAACTAATTTATGAGGCATATTCTTGGAGTACAAACAAATTACATGATTTACTTTCTAAAACTGCTTCTTCAATTCATTTAACGACTAATCTTTAGATGGCTAAGAGCAACTACGGATACATTGGAGTAACGGCCACTTGGCTTTTAAGTTTTATGAGGTTTTACTTACTTGTAATGTTTTAGATCATTCCTATACTGGTGAAGCTATTAGTGAAAAGCTCTATTGCGTTATTCAGCAGTGGAATCTTACTAACAAAATTCTTAATATTACTACGGATAATGGGGCGAATATGGTGAAATCTATTCGTCTTCTTAAGAATTCTTTGCCACTTGTTGAAAGACAACCTTGCGCAGCTCATACCTTGTAGTTATCCATACATGAAGGTCTAAAACAATGTAAAAATATACATAGGCAGATTAAGAGTTTGCAATTATTTTTTAGGTCGCCAAAGCAGGCACAATGGTTAAGGGAATCGCAGCATGAAAATCATGTAGATGAGAATAATGATGAAAATATTAAAATGCAAATAAGTCCTTTAGATGTATTACTTGATACTAAGACCTGGTAGAACTCCACATTTTTTGCATGGAAACGGCTTCTTGAATTGCATAATTCAATTCGTTTAGTTACGGCATTGTTGCTAGCAAAGCCTGACTGTATGTCTCAGCTAGAAGGAGAAAAGTTAGAAAAATTATGTTTAACAGCTGAAGAAAAAACGTAAGTAATTAAATCAACCTTTTTTTATTACTATACAATGTGGATGATACAGTATTACCCTAAATTCAAAATATTTTACTTATGGCTCCAATGTATTCGGGTATTATTGTACAGTATTTTCTTTGAAAATAATCTAATGATTTTTTATAGCAATAAGTAATTTATAGTGAGCGGGTACTATCATCTATAATAATATTAGGCAATTGAACTTGTAAAACTGAAATATTAGACTTATAAATTTTAGTTAGTACTTTATAGTCTAATTTTCAGTTGATAAGGTCCTCACATATTTATTACCATTACATTTTTCTTCTTTTTTTTATTTTATTTGATTTTATTTATTCTATTTTATTTATTCTATTTTTTTTTTTATTTTACTTATATTTTTATTTTATTATTATTATTATTATTATTTTATCATTATTTTATTTTTTATTGTCACGGTCCTCAATGACCACATATATCGGTTATGGCAGAATACAATATATCTCCAAAGTTTTAATATTAAGGCAAGATTATTGAAATTTATTAATGATACTTATTTACTTGGAGCAAAGAGCTAACTACTTTTTTTTTGTCTTTTATTTGACTCTTTGCTCTAAATTTAACTCATCGTTTGATTGAGAATTACATAATCTGACACCTATCGAACTCGACTCACAAAACTAAGTGATAAGTATTGCATATTTTTTTTTAGTTTTTAGTTTTATTTTTATTTTTTTTTAAGCATTTATCAATTCAGGTTTTCTTCGATCATAGCATCGTGTACAAACTCTTGCCATAGAGCCGATTCTGACTATGAAATTATTATTATTATTATTTTTATTATATCATTTTTATTTTTATATCTTTATTATCTCTACTGATAATTTTTTAATTTTTATTAATATACTTTAGGTTCATTTAAGAAATGATCAAACTACTAGAACCATTTGAGACTATAACACGACGATTGTCAGGTGCCACATATCCAACTTTAAATATAGTTCATCTATATATATATACATTAAAACAAATGTTTGCGCCAAGAGTTGAAAATGATAAAACAATTGATAGCTATTTAGATATAATCTATAGGCCTTTAATAGTAGAAAATCATTTAGAAAATATTGATAATAGTAGTGATTCAAGTTCTACTAGTGATAATGATAATATTCCAACTGCAGGAAATTGACAACATTGGCGACATGCATCTCAACAATTTAAACGGCAGATGAAAAATACATATAGCAGAGGTCGAGGTCGGGGTCAGAGTTGAGGTTTGGTTTGTGGTTATGGTCATAGATGCATATCTAATCGGGATGTGAGTGAAAATTCTAATCAAATTGAATTCCTACCACCAGTCAATACCAAAAATCTTATCCAAAAAGTTCGAGCTGCTATCTATCTTTCTTTAGATAGATTATGGGAATTACCTAATGAAAGTTCTTTAATAGCAATGATATTAGATCCTAGAATGAAAAATTTTCCATTTATAAATGGATCAGAATGTGCAGAACAAAGAACATAGGCCGAATATCTTTTAAGAAATTTATATACTCAACTTAAGCAAGGCTTAGTGAATGAAAATCTTGAAGAGCCAATTTTGACAACAGACTTGGCCGATGATGCTGAAGATGGATCAGAGAAAGAAGCCATTTTGCATACTACTGTACAATGTTTGCTACATTATTTATATAATTAATGC